AGAGGCTTAAATTCTTTATGTTGATCATATGTCCAAAGTATGTAACATAAATCTAGAATCAGTGAGCATGAACTCTGCATTTGCATTTTAGCTAAATAAATTAAACATCTCAAAATGGAAGGCTTCATTTCCACATAGCAGATGATATACCTGCTCTGGAAAATTTGATCTCCATTTACATAACATATAAAAAATTTCATAAGAAGGAAACAGAAGAAAAGTCAGAACCACAGCTATTTTCATTGCTGAGAATGATTGCTTTATTCTCTACTGCTGATTTTTCTTCAGTTGCATATATTGAGGTTGCTAAAGCATTTTCTGGATGTAGCATGTGAAAAACTTTCCTCAGAGAACTAAAATGAAGGGAAGGTACAATTCTTCATAAGAGAAATGATAAACTCACAGTTTTCTCTTACATGTTTAGTCTTCTGTTAGAAGTTGAGAGAACTGCATCTAAAACACAACCCTGAACTTAATAGCTATATGACCTTATGCAAGTCAATTAACCTGTTCAAGATTGTTTTATATGTGTAAAATGGACATAATAATACATAGATCATATGATTGCTATGAGGATTAAATGGGATGACACATGTAAAGCTCCTGGTATTTGATTAGTAAAACTAAATAAATGACAACTCTTTTCCTTTCACTGGCTCCTAGGCTGATTTCCTGTTACAAAAGCCTACATTTTTTTCAACGTAAAAAGATAATGTTATTAGTGGTGTCCTTCAGATTATCACTACTGCTTTGATAGTTCAACTTTCTGAAAGAAACTTAACTTTCTTATAAAAATAGCTTGTTTTCCATATTATACAGATCATGATAATCTCATAACATTCTACTCTTACCAACACCGACCCCCTCAACAACCACCACCAATGTACATACCTCTTAACATCTCAGACATTTCCAGTGTCTGGCACAGATCCTCAGCAAGTTCATTTCTTCTTTGGAGGCCTACAGTCCACATTTGTATTTATTTGTGTGGCTTATACATCACATCATAGCTGTTATCCTCTGTTGTTGATTCAGAAATGTCAAAAAGAGTCCAAACCCTTGAGAAAGGAAGATTTCAATAGAGTTGCATGAGCAGAAAGCAAACCTACAGTGCGAACTCAATAAACCATCCTCTGAAACGTGTTTTACCCATTTAAAGTTCAGTACTGTAGTCAGGAGAGCAAGAGATTTGGATTTCAAAGGTTGACACTTCTTTTCAATAATTGTGCTAATCTGATGCAAAGGATTCTTTTAGTCTCTTACATGTATGCTGATACTCAGAATCTTCCACAGGCATGAGAGAACACAACTCATGGATGTGGATAAGACTCGGTCTAAAGAATAATAGCTGCATTATGCATTCATGGACACACAGTTTAAAAAAAGAAAGACAGATGGACAGCGAATTTAAGAACTACTTTGTCTAAACTTTTCATTAAGATTCAAACTGTTTCCATAAATATTCTATGTACAATTTACAGATTAGGTATTACTATTTCCTCTTGATCTTCTATGCAAAACAAGATCATAAGTACTAAAAGGTCACAATTTAGAATAAATAGAATAAACATTAATCTCCAAATGACTTGAAATATATAATGTTTCTACCTTGAGAATTCTCTATTGTTTAGTTTGCTCATGGTCCAATTAACTAAAAAATCACATATGCAGTTTACAGTTGACAGAAATAAGAAAAAACACTTGGATAAGAGTAGTCTTGAACCTTCTACCCATTTCCTTCTCATTTCAAAATAAATTAATTAGTCATCTTTTTGGAAAATTAAATTGCTAAATCATTATGCTAATAACCAATTACCATTTTCTAATTTTAAGTGGTTTAAAACATGTTTCCCATCTAGAAGTTCAAGCATTGGACTATGGTCCAGATGTAAATTATATCCATAACAAAGGTTTCTAGAGGTCCTTATCATTATTTATCCATTTCCTTGCTGTGCATATTTTTTTATTCTCTGAATATTAGTATTAGTAGTGTCATGACTATATTTTCCAAACTTCAGATCCCATAAGATCTGATAAATGAGGTTGTTGTGTCGCTTCTTGGTGGAGATGTAACTTTGATGTTGAAAAATTGTAACTTGTTGGACTCTGATGGTTTAGAAGAATAACAGAAGGGAATGTTTAAAATTAAGAATATCTTGGAAAATTTGGTTACTGTATGAATAGGACATATGAGGCAATGACACTAAATAGGTGAAATAATCAGTTAAAAAGTCAAGACTGGAGAAACAGGCAATAATATTTAACCTGAAATCATTATAGCATATATTCTGCAATTCATTTAGACATATGAACTTTAAGAAAATGACATGCAGCTTTATGCAAATAAACCATGACACTCTATTAGATATGAAACATGTTCAGGAGTTTAAAGCTGTTCTGAAGTTGATACTCTATGCATATATTATCAGGTTCTTAAAGTTACTGCTCAACCTGGCATCACCAATCTGTAGGAAAATATATCACATAAGGTACTATCATCTCAGCTGGCCATACCAGCAAATATGTTGTCAGCTGTATCTCCTTATTGCCACAACTATCATGATAAAAAGATCAACCTTGTTTACTTTGTTTACCCTTACCTGCTCTTGAAAGATCCCCTTCTGATTCTAGTTTTAGTGATTTATAGATGCACTAATACTACATTTGTGGGCAGCCATGAAAAGGCTCATGACCTGCCTCTAGAGTCTGGAAGGACACTTCTATAGGAAGAATGTTCTCAGTAGCTTTCATTCTGCTATACTAAGCTCTTGAGGACAGGGTGAGTCTTACCAAACCCTATGTCTCCTGTGCTAAGCTCACACGTAGTATATGCTCCACAAATACCTTCCAAATAGTTTATAAGATTCCCAAGGAGGGAAACATTTTTCTGACCTTCCAAGTTTTTCTTTTTGTCCTCATCACTGAATAGCAGTTATTTCATTGAGTTGACTGTCATCTTATAAGTAGGATAGGTAACAATGTTTTGGGGAAGGAGATAAAATGGTTCACACAATGGTGCAAATATGGATATGTCCTTTGGAAGATCTGCTACTTAACTTACCTTCCTGAATGCCCAGGATAAAGGATATAGGTGGTCATTATCTCATTTTCCAGGTGTCACCTATGAAACTCATGGCCCTTAGAAGAAGTAGTAGCTTGCAACTTGGCTATTAGGTTACTTCCTCATAGAGGGGTAAGGAGAAGCACAATTGATGACTATTAACTAAATGTCCTCTTTAGAGTGTAATCATGGTAGAATACAGGAGGTGGTGAAGAGGGATAAGTGTATCAGTCTTCACTTGCTTTCCAGCGTCTTATCTTCACAATGATTTAACTGAACAGAACAAAAAAGAGAGAGAGAAAGAAAAATAAATAAATGATCAAGCAATAGCAAAGAATAAATACACACACACAACGTAATCCCAGGAATTTTCTAAATTTCATGAGCAAGTTAAAGGACTACCGATCAGAAGAGATGACAAATCACAAGGAAGAAATGAGTATTAGAAAAAGACACCAAATTACTGAACTTGTTTCCAATTTCTACCAGCTGGAAAAAAGGATAATTCCTCTTTGTGTAGTTGATAAACCTGAAAGTGTTTTTCCTCTGGTGGAAAAAAGTCATACCTTTTCTCTTGCTCTAATACACACACACACACACACACACACACACACAAAGCTGAGCAATGTGGGTGTTGGGAGCACTGGCCTCCCACACCGTTGAAAATCCATGTATATAAGTTTTGATTCCCCCAAAATTGAACTACTAATAAATAGTCCATTGTTGACCAGAAATCTTACTGATAGCATAAACAATTAACATATTTTGTATGTGTATGTATTATATACCATATTCTTACGTTTAAGTAAGCTAGAGAAAAGAAAACATTGTTCAAATTGTCATAAATCTTCAAAACCTTTTATATTTATTGAAACACATCTACATTCAAGTGGACCTACACAGTACAAACCCAAGTTCAAGGGTCTAAGAACATAAATATATATACATACACTGTGAATATATATTTATTCTATATGTACCTAGCAATGTATCAGTGCAATAGACAGTTCACATGTAGTAAACATTAATATAGGTAAGCCAATAAGAGTCAAACAGATTCCAATTTATACTATTAAGTAATCTGATGCTGTGTAATCATCCAATGATTGACATACTTTTGTATATTTTCTTTGGTGGAATTATTTTTGTAAGTTTTTTTATGTTCTTATGCAATTATTGTTTTAAAAAGGTCACAAAACCAAATAAAGAGAAGAAATCTGCACAATTTTGGACCCAAAATTGCATGTGTGTTAATCATGTTTCCTCACAATAAGGATATGCTACATTCAGAAGATTTTGAGTTTCACAATGAAAGAGTAATAGATTAAATGATTTAGTATTCCAAATCACTTATTGGGGTCCAGAAGTCAGGGAATACAATTCAAAGACTGAATTGATATTCTAAAAAGTACAGTCATAATTATATTCTTGCCACCTCTTAGCAAATGCAAAAATTTTCCAAGAGTGTCAAGCATGTTAATTATTACTTAGGACTTAAAGATCTCAGACTATGTAGCCTTTTTAAATAGAGAAAATATTAGAGAAAAATTAAAATAACAGAAAACATATTTTCATAAATTTAATCAATATAAGAAGTTAAAAGGCCTATATAAATGTAACATAAATATAGTTCACCAAACAATTCCATGTATTTAACTCATTTGAGTAATATAACCAAAATACCAAACAAAGTAATTATATTTCCTCCATTACCTAAATGAAGAAACTGAGGGCCTGAAATGTTATGTGACTTATTCCACATAATGAAACACCACACTGATGGAGATAGAATGGTAACACAGGTCTTCTGACCCCTGGTACATTTTTTTTGTTATAATTAATCTACAATTACATGAAGAACATTATGTTTATTAGGCTCCCCCCTTTACCAAGTAACCTCCCACACACCCCATTACAGTCACTATCCATCAGCGTAGAATCACTACTTGTCTTCCCTGTTTTGCACAGCCCACCCCATGTGCCCCCCCACATGCTAATTATACATGATAATCATAATACCCTCTTTCTTCACCCCCTTATCCCTACCTTCCCATGCATCCTCTTCAGTCCCTTTCCCTTTGGTACTTGTTAGTCCATTCTTGGGTTCTGTGATTCAGCTGCTGTTTTGTTCCTTCAGTTTTTTCTTTGTTCTTATACTCCACATATGAGTGAAATCATTTGATACTTGTCTTTCTCTGTCTGGCTTATTTCACTGAGCATAATACCCTCTAGCTCCATCCATGTTGTTGCAAATGGTAGGATTTCTTTTCTTTTTATGGCTGAATAATATTCCATTGTGTATATGCACCACATCTTCTTTATCCATTCATCTACTGATGGGCATTTAGGATGCTTCCATTTCTTGGCGATTGTAAATAGTGCTGCGATAAACATAGGGGTGAATCTGTCTTTTTCAAACCGGGATACTGCATTCTTAGGGTAAATTCCTAGAAGTGGAATTCCTGGGTCAAATGTTATATCTATTTTGAGCATTTTGAGGAACCTCCATACTGTTTTCCACAATGGTTGAACTAGTTTAAATTCCCACCAGCAGTGTAGGAGGGTTCCCCTTCTCCACAACCTTGCCAACATTTGTTGTTACTTGTCTTTTGGATGGTAGCCCTCCTTACTGGTGTGAGGTAATATCTCATTGTGGTTTTAATTTGCATTTCTCTGATGATTAGTGATGTGGAGCATCTTTTCATGTGTCTGTTGGCCATCTGAATTTCTTCTTTGGTGAACTGTCTGTTTAGTTCCTCTGCCCATTTTTTAATTGGATTATTTGCTTTTTGTTTGTTGAGGAGCATGAGCTCTTTATATATTTTGGATGTGAACCCTTTATGGGATCTGTCATTTACGAATATATTCTCCCATACTGTAGGATACATTTTTTTCTATTGATGGTGTCCTTTGTTGTACAGAAGCTTTTCAGCTTGATATAGTCCCACTTGTTCATTTTTGCTTTAGTTTCCCTTGCCTGGGGAGAAATGTCCATGAAGAAGTCACTCATGTTTACGTCCAAGAGATTTTTGCCTATGTTTTTTTCTAAGAGTTTTATGGTTTCATGACTTACATTCACGTCTTTGATCCATTTTGAATTTATTTTCGTGTATGGGGTTAGACAGTGATCCAGTTTCATTGTCTTACATGTAGCTGTCCAGTTTTGCCAGCACCATCTGTTGAAGAGACTGTCATTTCCCCATTGTATGTCCATGGCTCCTTTATCATATATTAATTGACCATATATTTTGGGGTTAATGTCTGGAGTGTCTATCTTGTTCCACTGGTCTGTGGCTCTGTTCTTGTGCCAGTGCCAAATTGTCTTAATTACTATGGCTTTGTAGTAGAGCTTGAAGTTGGGGAGCGAGATCCCCCCCCACTTTATTCTTCCTTCTCAAGATTGCTTTGGCTATTCGGGGTCTTTGGTGTGGTCTTATCATATATGGCCTTTATTATATTGAGGTACTTGCCCTGTTTACCCATTCTGCTGAGAGATTTTATCATGAATGGATGTTGAATTTTGTCAAATGCTTTTTCAGCATTGATGAAGATGATCATGTGGTTTTTGTCTTTCTTTTTGTTTATGTGGTGGATGATGTTGATGGATTTTCAAATGTTGTACCATCCTTGCATCCCTGGGATGAATTCCACTTAGTCATGGTGTATGATCCTTTTGATGTATTTTTGAATTCGTTTTGCTAATATTTTGTTGAGTATTTTTGCATCTACGTTCATCATGGAAATTGGTTTGTAATTTTCTTTTTTGGTGGGGTCTATGCCTGGTTTTGTTATTAGGATAATGTTGACTTCATAGAATGAGTTTGGAAGTATTCCGTCCTTTTCTATTTTTTGGAAAACTAAGGAGAATGGGTATTATGTCTTCTCTGTATGTCTGATAAAATTCTGAGGTAAATCTATCTGGTGCAGGGGTTTTGTTCCTGGGTAGTTTTTTGATTACCACTTTAATTTCTTTGCTGGTAATTGATTTGCTTAGATTTTGTGTTTCTTCATTGGTCAGTCTTAGAAGGTTGTATTTTTCTAAGAAGTTGTCCATTTCTTCCAGGTTTTCCAGCTTGTTAGCATATAGATTTTCATAGTGTTCTCTAATAATTCTTTGTATTTCTGTGGGGTCCATTGTGATTTTTCCTTTCTCATTTCTGATTCTGTTGATGTGTGTTGACTCTCTTTTTCTCTTAATAAGTCTGGCTAGAGGCTTATCTATTTTGTTTATTTTCTCAAAGAACCAGCTCTTGATTTCATTGATTTTTGCTATTGTTTTATTCTTCTCAATTTTATTTATTTCTTCTCTTATCTTTATTATGTCCCTCCTTCTGCTGACTTTAGGCCTCATTTGTTCTTCTTTTTCCAATTTTCATAATTTTGACTTTAGACTCTTCATTTGGGATTGTTCTTCCTTCTTTAAATATGCCTGGTTTGCTATATACTTTCCTCTTTAGACTTCTATCGCTACATCCCACAGAAGTTGGGGCTTTGTGTTGTTGTTGTCATTTGTTTCCATATATTGCTGGATTTCCATTTTAATTTGGCCATTGATCCATTGATTACTTAGGAGCATGTTTTTAAGCCTCCATGTGTTTGTGAGCCTTTTTGCTTTCTTTGTAGAATTTATTTCTAGTTTTACACCTTTGTGGTCTGAAAAGTTGGTTGGTAGGATTTCAATCTTCTGGAATTTACTGAGGCTCTTTTTGTGGCCTTGTATGTGATCTATTCTGGAAAATATTCCATGTGCACTTGAGAAGAATGGGTATCTGGTTTCTTTTGGATGTAGAGTTCTATAGATGTCTATTAGGTCCATCTGTTCAGTGCCTGTGTCCTTACTTATTTTCTGTCTGGTAGATCTATCTTTTGGAGTGAGGGGGTGTGTTGAAGTCTCCTAAAATGAATGCATTGCATTCTATTTCCTCCTTTAATTCTGTTAGTATTCGTTTCACATATGCTGGTGCTCCTGTGTTGGGTGCATGTATATTTATAATGGTAGTATCCTCTTGTTGGACTAACCCCTTTATCATTATGTATTGATCTTCTTTATCTCTTATTACTTTCTTTGTTTTGAAGTCCATTTTGTTGATATTAGTACTGTAACACCTGCTTTTTTCTCCCTGTTGTTTGAATGAAATATCTTTTTCCATCCCTTGACTTTTAGTCTGTGCATGTCTTTGGGTTTGAGGTGAGTCTCTTGTAAGCAGCATATAGATGGGTCTTGCTTTTTTATCCATTCTATTACCCTGTGTCTTTTGATTGGTGCATTCAGT